CATCAAAAAATAAATAAATAAAAATCTGCTCTACAAGCCTAGTGCCTCATAAAGGACGACAAATACACATCCGGCTGGATACGGCGCCAGACGCCGGACAGTGCAATGAAATTCCAGAGTGTCCGCCCTAAAGCCGGACATATGGCCACCGTAGTCATGGAGTAAAAACAGAAAATGGAACGGCTTGCCTTGTGCAACTTGATCTGTGTATTTACTTTCTCATATCTGTATGTAGATTGCATTTTTCTCTATGAGTAAAATTAATGTTTGGTTTTACTACTTTGCTTTATTTGGTATCTTTGTGGTTTTACTCTTAGTTTTGTCAAAGGCTTGCCCTGCAGCACTTAAACTATTGAAAGAAATCTGTTCAAATGTTATTGCACTCAGAATAAACAGAACATTGAGAAACTTTTGAGAGTAGTTTAAAATATGTATGCAAAAACCTGAGCAAGGACTGTTGACTAGCAGCATGAAGTCAAATGTATTTTTGGTGCAACAGTCTTGATAGACTTATGTTGCTACAATCTTGGCATGGGGGTTAATTTTTGAAGCTTGACCAGCAATGGACCCCATGTTACCTATATGTGAGGGGAAGTAGCTGGTATCCCAACTAACTTAGTTGCCATAAAGCAGCTCGACGGGCTTGTGAACTGCTCACCTCAATCCTCATATACATTCAGGACCTTCTCTGTTTGACAGTCTAAAACTAAAATTGGTAACTGGTGCTTAGATTTTCAGGATTTTTTACTCTAATCAGTAGCATGACCTAGTAGATGTCTCTGTATTCTCTTCACACTGACAGAACATTGAGTGTTTTGTCTCTTTTATTGTAAATCAAAATGACAAGGAAAGGGAAACATTAGATCTCACATTGCATATGACAATAAAAAAACACATTATTAATTAAATAAAGAGAGTAGTACAATATTTTACAAGTGACATGATGTGTATTCATTCTGAGTTTCATAGGAATAAATCACTGTACAGGTATTGTTAATATTATTATCAAATAGTTTAACCAAATTACCTTGTATCATGTTATTGAGCTTGATCAAAATGCAATGCTGGAGGTCTGGACAGAACCAATCAACTGAATGCATTCTTCAATAGTTTCAGGATCATGTTCTTTGATTTCTGCAGTTCATTTAATATAATTCAGCCTGACTTAACTCCAGAAGACTCAGGTGGATGCATCACTTGGATCAAAGATAACCTGACAAACAGACAACAGTTTCTTAGACTAAAGGGTCATCTGTCTAACTATTCAGCAGCACAGGAGCACCACAGCGGTTGGTACTCTCACCATTCCATTTTACTGTGTTCACCAGACAGAGTCTTGTCATCTGCAGAAATACTCAAATGACTCTGCAGTCATTGGGTTCATCAAAGATGGACAAGAAGCTGAGTACAGAAAGCTGGTGAACCGCTTTGTTTCATGGTGTGGAAACAATAATCTGATCCTGAATGTCAACAAAACAAGGGAGATGATTGGAGATTTCAGAAGAAACAGGAACAAGTTAAATCCTGCTAATCTCATGGGCCAAACCTGGAGGTGGTGGAGGAGTATAAATACCTTGGTGTTCACCTGGACAACAACCTCGACTGGAGACGCAACTGGGAAACAGTCTACAAGAAGTGACAGAGCAGACTGTACTTACTTTCTGAGCAAGCTTAGGTCTTTAAGTCATCAACCACTTTATATAACATTTCAATGTTTCTTCAGGTTGTCTTTGCCCGATGTTCGGGTTCCCCTGAGGACTACCAAGCTAGGAACAATCCACAGCAACACCCAAGAATTTTTACTCTTCATTCCTGCTCTATCTGCACCAGAGTCCTTCATAGGTCTGATTTTTCGAACCAGCATCCACCTGCACCCTTGTGGCTCAAAGCCGAAAACCTAACACCTGTTTTACTCTCAGTCATCCCCCCTTTAGCACAACCCAACCCATGATCACAGCAAATATACGCAACCACTCATTTTCATTAAGTGCTTTAAGTCACAAACCGCTCATAATACTGTCTGAACAACAGAGGTGTTAGGTTTATTCCTTATTAATGATGTGTATTAGTAATCTGCAGGCCAGATTAGATGGAGTGGACGTCCTTCCTTCACATGGTGGATCACATTGTGTTTACAGAGGCCATCTAATGAGGACAGGCTTTTTGTCTGTAGAACAAACACAGGATAAGGATACATCCTGGAGCCAGACTGATAAAGGAGAGCTATCTGTAATCCTGAGGCACGAAGGTCAGGGCATAGATGGCGTGTCAGTTTCTGACTCAAACAGTTAAGCATCCACCTGATGCAACACATAGACTCATGAGGTATAAGACTTACAGCCTCCTCCTATAAGCAGGAGATGACCTCTTTGGGGGCCCGTGTTGCCGGATGCCAACGCTTGCTGACGTTTTCAGCCCACAGTTGTGCCGACTCCAAGCTATTTCTCTGTCCTGTAACAATCTGAACAGAAATAAACTGTTAATTTTTACTCCTGTTTTTATAGTCATTTTTATATAGTTTTATACAGTTTTGAGTTAAGAATAATTATACAAAGCAGCTTGCTCCAAGGAAAAGAACCAGAAGTTCCGAGGTATTTTCGCCTTTAGGGATACATAACTTCCTATTTTAACAGAGATAAAGGCATCTTGCCCAATTCTTCCATGCCACTGCGTTCACAGATGCCTGCTGGTAAATTAGCCGGATGCAAAAGGGCTTTTTCTACTCACCGTCAAATGTCAGTATTTCTTTCAGTAGCTATGGTGTTTACACTGCAAAAACCATCTAAAATGAGAAAAAAATGTCTTAAATTAAGTGTATTTACCATT